GGGGGGGGCACACGAAGCGCGCGCGGGAGGGACACAAAGCGCGCGAGAGAGAGACACACAAAGCACGCGAGAGGGAGAGAGACACAAAGCACACGCAGAAAACGAGGGGAGAGGGTGAAAGAGAGAGCGAGAAACAGAGAAAGGGAGTGACACACCCAGAGAGAGACAGACAGACATACACACAAGGTGCAGGGTGGGGGGGTGTGGAGTAGATAGAGAGACAGACACACACACACACAACATAAAATACAGCATATACAAAATACTTAGGAATGTAGAATCAGATATTTCATTTCTAATTAGTAAATGTAACATGAGTAATGGTCACTGTCATAGGTGACGTAACTGGCAACAGACAAATGTAATTTTACATTTCCCTTGTTTGTTGGTAAAATTGAAAGACTGGAGGAAGAGCATATGACTATTGCTTCCGTCTTTGTATTTTGCTTTCTTGATCTTTGAATAGCAGTTGAGGTTTGTTTTGTAGACATATATACGTGGTGTACAATTACCTGTATTGTAAAAGATATGTTACACAGACAAAAAAAACTAGTGACTTAAACAGTGTCACACCTTAATCTCATAGGTTTTGCTACTTCACCAAACAAAATTCACCAAAGATCCTCAGACAGCACCTTCCAAACCCACGACTCCATGACTACCTCCATCTAGAAGAACAAGGGCAGTAGACATATGGGAACACCACCACCTCCAAGCCACTCACCATCCGACTTGGAAATATATCGCTGTCCCTTCACTGTCGCTGAGTCAAAATCCTTGAATTCCCTCCCTAATGGCATTGAGGGTCAACCTACAGCTGGTGGACTGCAAGAAGACAGCTCACCACCACCTTCTCAAGGGCAACTAGGGATGGGCAAGAAATGCTGGCCAGCTAGCAATGCCCACATCCCACATATGAATTTTAAAAAGAACTTTGCTCCGGCTAAGAGTGTGGTGGAGTCAGTTTCAGTTCAGACTTTCCAAAGGGAATTATTTAGTTTTCTCAAGTGAAAAGAAATGCAGGCTATGAGTGAAAGGCAGGGTAATGGAGCTAGGTGAATTGCTCTTTAAAAGGCATACTAGGCTGACTGCCTTGTCTCTGCTGTAACCATTCCATGGTTCCTCATTTAGAAGTGAATCCACACTTAAGATAATGGCAAACATGCCTGATTGAAGTAACGTTTCAAACAGAGGCAGTGGTAGCTATGCTTTGAAGAAGACTGCATCACAGCAGATTAAATGAGCCAAAAAGAGGTGATAACCAGTTAGGCCAAAATTTCAAGCAGATAAAATACAACCTTCATCAGTTACTGCACAGTACATGGCTGAGGCTCTCTCTAAGTTTGGATTTTGAGGGAAAGGCACCTGGAAGATTTGCCTTAGTTGCCTTTAGAAGATGAAATTTGTGTGGTTTGCACAGTGCCTTGTTGCAGAAAACAGAATTACCTTAGGAAGTTGTGGTAAGGCTATTAGATATCTACCAGCCACCCATACAAGTGGCAGAGGCATCCAAAATTGTGAAAAGGTGGGAGGTCGCATAGCCAAAAACCAAGGGAAGGATCCCCATAGAATCATGGAAGAATAGCTTTAATACCAAGAACAATTAAAGCAAAATATAGAGGGCTGTGCGATATTATTTGGAATAATCCCAGGAAAAGTGAACAAACATTAAAGACTTTGTAGGTTAAGGGAACTCTTTGGGAGGTTGGAGCAGGGAGGTGGTTGATGAGCAATAGGTTTATAACATAAGCTTCAAAAGCTGTAGTGTTAAGCTCATAGTGCTTGTTTTGTTTACTTCTTGTTGAGGCATCAAAATATGCTATTGTTTAAAAACATGAAATCTTGTTGTGCAGTTCTGTTGGCTAATTTCAGGGTATTCTGATTTCTTCTCTAAACGCTAGTGGTCCCCTTAACATGATTGCAGCAATTGCGAATCACCTCAGTTTGGATGGCAACATAGTTTGCACATACACACGCACAGGCCAGCTATACTGCCATTGTTTGCTTGGTGAAGTACAGGTCTATGGAATGGTAAATTTAATCTTTTCTTCAACTAATTATGTCGCTCTGGGATAATCTACCTGTTGCAGGCATTACCAAATTATCATTAATCATTTCAGTCTAACAATAAAAGCTAATAGGGTGATAACAACAGGAAGTCAAACAAACTCTGCTCCTATGATGCTGCTTGGCCTGCTGTGTTCATCCAGCCTTGCACCTTGTTGTCTCGGATTCTCCAGCATCTGCAGTTCCTACTATCTCTGATTCAAAAATATATTATGATTGGTCTCAAGTACAATGTCAGAAGAATGAGGATAAAACAAACATAAAATTGGGCAGGATATCAGCACAGATCAAAGTATGGTACTCCACTTTCTTTATGAAGTTGATTGGCCTGCTTTACAGGTTCCACTGGCAGTTAAAGTAACATTTATCACATTTCCAGCCTATATCCATTTTAGTAAACTGACAGTAATTTTAGTGATCAGTACCCACATCTTCAAAACAATTTTATTTATTTTCTTAGTACATTTCTCTTCATGACAACACAAGGTTTCTGGTAGCATGTTTACGTCATCATGTAACATCCAAAGTGGCTATGACTGATCACCAACCTCTCTGTTACTGAAGGTTATTTAATCCTGTCCTCATCCAACATTCATATTCCAATACCACATGCAGGTAAAAAAAGCCATGCCTAGGGCAGTTAAGAATAAAAATTCAACCCAAACCTAGGATCAAATCTGGAACTTCCATAGTTATCTATAGCACTACTCACTAGAAAAATGTGTTTCATCAGCACAAGAGATTCCAAACCTAGTTAATAGGTTTGATCAAAGCTCCCCACTAGAAAAGATAACTTTTCTTTTTGTTTCACTTTGAGGGGAAGAAAAGCATGTAGTTTTTCAGGTGTTGGAGAACCACCCTTACACTTTTAAAACTGACTGAGTTATTTCTTTTCTGTACTGGAACCTATAACAAAATGATTAGAACAACTCAGTATTTCCCACAAATTGCAGCTCAGACCGCATCAGATGATAAATTACTGAACTTTTTAAACAATACAATCACTGTACCAAAAAGAATCGTTAATAAGTGATGCTGGTAAGGCCATCATTTATTGCTCACCCATAACTGCTCACAATTGCCTTCCTGAACAGTCGTAGTATATTTGATGTAGGTACCTACCAGCTGTGTTAGAGAATGGAATTTGACCCAGCAACAGTCAAACACATATAATTCGAAGTCAGGATGGTGTTTCCATGCACTGCTACTTTCTAGGTGGTAGAGGCTGAGGTTTTGTAAGGTACTGAAGAAGTTGCTTTAGCTCATTTTGTAGCTGGTACACACTGCTATCACTGTGCAGGACTGGTGGAGGGTGTGAATGTTTAACATTGTGGATAGAGTGCTGATCAAGCAGTTTTCACTGTGCTGGATGTTGCTGAAGATCTTGAGTGTTATTAGTGCTGCAGTCATCCAGGAAAGTGGACTGCATTTCAATATACTCTCAGTTTGTGCACAGCAAATGTCGGGACAGAATGTGGGTATCAGGTGATGAGGAAATTACCACAGAATTCCAGGCTTCTGAGCTGCACCCAGGAGCCACTGTATTTATATGGCTGGTCAAGTTAAATCTCTGGAATTTGTGAATTAAAAATAACTAAATATTACCATGTGGGACATGGGTTTCATTGCCTGAATTGCCTATTCCTAGTTGCCCTTGAGAAGATGGGTGTGAGCAGCCTTCTTGAACTGCTGCAGCCCATGTGCTACTAGTAGATCCACAATGCCGTTGAGAGGCTGTTGCTTGACTAATTCAAGAGACGATTTTGCCAATTTTCCTACTAATCCCCAGAAGTTAGAAAAAAGGACTTTGCAGGGTTGACAGCGCTGAATTTGCCCATTGTCATTTCCAGCGCCAAATTTGCCCATCGTCATTTCCAGTGTCTGGGTCCATGCCCGGTGGTCTTTCCAGTTTCATTCCTTTATTGAGAGTTTCTAGCAGTTGGTACAACAGAACGGCTTGCTAGGCCATCAGACGGCAGTTAACAGTCAATCACATGTATGCCAGACCAGGTGAAGTATGGCAATATTCTTCCCTAAAAGATGTTAGTTAGCATGTTAGGTTTTTGCACAACCAACAATGGTCTTATGATCATTAGATGATTACTTTACATTAAAATTTCACTAGCTGCCATGGTGGGATTTGAATCCTACTACCCAGAACATTACCTGGATTCCTAGTTCAGTAACTATACCACTTGGCCACCACATTATCTTCAATCAATGGTCTGCTCCTTAACCAGAGTGCATGTTACTCTTTCATTTGATTTTAAAACCAACCTGTTCAGCGATGTTATGAACCCCCCCCCCCATAGTAGACAGGACATGAACCCAGGCCTCCTGGCTCAGAGATAGGGAAACTACCACAACAACTCTTATGCTACTCTTTCGAAAACTTCCAATAAATTGGTTAAACATGATTTTTCTTTTTAGACATCTATAAGAAAATTTTGCTATTCAGTTTTACATATTAATATTAATACACAGTCAGCCTCAGAAAGGGGTTGATCTAAACAAGTATTTCTATTGAGGTATTAATGTTACTGTTTTGACATCAGTAAAAGATTGATACCATGGGGGTGGATCTCTGTTGAGATACAATCAGTAATATACTGATCCTCAGTATATTAAATGTATATCATATATGGGCTAATCCAATTCTTTGTTGAGATACTGACATCACTGCATTGATCTTCAGAAAGAGCAGATTTCAACACGTGATCTCTAGTGAGCTATTGACATTAACATATGGACCCTCAGTGAGTGGAGTGATCCAATTTGGAGAGAGGGTCTTTTTTTTTTAAAATTCACTGGCAGGATGTGGACATCTCTGGCTAAGCCAGCATTTACAGCCTAAAAGACATTAGTGAACCACATGAATTTTTCCGACGACTGCCAATGGTTTCACGGTCATCATTAGACCCTTAATTCAGGAGTTTATTTTTTCTCTGTGGTGCAATATTCAGTAAAAGGTTAATCGAATGAGGGATTTCTATTGAGATATTAACAGTGACTTATGGGCCCGCAGCAAAGGTCTGATGCAATGAGAGATCGCTATAGAAATTGACACCAAGGAAGTGGATGGACAATGCAAGCGAGTCTCTATTGCCATATTAACATCACTATATTGACCCTCAGAGGCTGACCCAATGGATGGGACTATATTGAGATACAGTATTGATAGTAATGTACTGACCCTCAGTATGGGGCTGATCCAGTGTGGCGGGCGGGATGGCTATTGAGATATTCACATTAATCTGCAGATTCTCAGTAAGGGAGACAGGGTGGGAGGGGTTCTCTATTCCCACAGTCACATTAAACCGCTGGTCTCACCTCCAGTTTGTGGTTGATCTGGAAGACGGTCTGCGCCTTGTGACAAAGCTGTGCGAAGCAGGAGCTGAGCGCCGTCATCTTCTGGCGGCCCTCGTAGGTGATCTCGGACTGGTCGGGGTCGATCTCCCCCAGGAGCAGGTCCACATCCACGAAGGCCTTGTCAAACTCCTTCTCCAGCACCTCCAGCCAGCGGAACATGGAGGGGCCGGCTGCCGCTGCCGGCGGAGCCCCGGCCGAGGAGGCCATAGTTGACGCTGCAGGACAGGAGAGAAGGGAGTAGGTGGCGGTTGGTGACTCCGACCCGCAGCCCTGTACCCTGTGCCCGGAGTTTCCTCTCTTCTCCTCCTCCTCCTCCTCCTCCCTGGACCCCGGCGCCGCCTCCGGTTCCGGTTGTCAAGGAGCCCACTCTCGATTGCTCGCGCCTGCCACAACAGTAGAAGGCCGAGCGAGTGGAGCGAGGAACGGTCGTTCGAGCCGTCACCATGGAGAAAGGGGGCAGGGCCAGAATGCGCGGCAGAAACACCGCCCACCGCCGGCGCGCCCGCCCACTCACACACACTCCCGCCGCCCCGCAACAGCAACAACTTGCATTTATATGGCGCCTTGAACACAACTCACCTTTTCCTGGAGGTACAGCGCAAAATATGACGAAGCGCCCCGTCCGGGAGCTTTTGGGCCAGTTGAACCAAAACATAGAAATGCAACAGAACACTGCGGATGCTCAAGATCTGAAACCAAAGCAGAAATTGCTGAAGAAACTCACCAGGGCTGGCAGCATCTGTCGGGAGAAAGCGACATCTGGTCTATCGCTGAGTTTCTCCTTCAATTTCTGTTTTTGAACGAAAACATTGGACAGAAGTAGCTTCCAAGGTGCATTTCGAAGAAGAAAAATGAAGTGGCAAGGCAGAGAATTTTATGGAATAATTTCAGAAATTGGGACTAAACCGCTAGTGCAGCCCCACTGGTGGTGGAATGTTTAATGTCCGGGAATCTGAATTGGAGGAAGTCAGGTGATCAGAGGACAAGTCAGAGTACAGAAAGGAGATAGAAGGCTTGCTGATTTGGTGCATTGAAAACAACCTCTCATTCAACGTCGGCAAAACTAAAGAACTGATCATTGACTTCAGAAAGAAGGGTGAAGAACACGCCCCCATCTACATCAACAGAGCTGAGGGTGAGACTGTCAAGTTTCTAGGAGTGACAATAACTGACAACCTGTCCTGGATTTCCCACATAAATGCAACAGTCAAGAAGGCACAATAATGCCTCTCCTTCCTCAGGCAGTTCAGGAAATTTGGCATGTCCACAAGGTCCCTCACTAGTTTTTACAGAGGCGGGACTGAAAGCATACTGTCTGGGTGCATAATGGCTTGGTATGGCAATTGTTCTGCCCAGGACCGTAAGAAACTACAGAAGGTTGTGTGCAAAGCCCAGACTATCGCAGAAGGCAACTTCCATCCATGGGCTCCATTTACACAGCTCGTTGCCAACATCATCAAGGACCCATTGTACCCCAGCAATGCTCTCTTATCACCTCTTCCTTCAGGCAGAAGATACAGAAGCTTGAACACACACACCAGCAGGTTCAAGAACAGCTTCTTCCCTGCCATTATTAGACTGATGAATGGACTTTCTAACTTCAAATAATGCTGATTTTGCTAATGTTGATCTTGAACCTAGCACACACCCTGTGCGATGCAACTTGTATGACTCTGCCTGGTTTTGTTTTTTGCCCTACAATCTGTATGTCCTTGCTTACTATGAGCTGCCTGTACTGCTCGTAAATAATGCTTTTCACTGTACTTAGCTACACTTGACAATAAATCAATCAAATCAAATCAGAGGGTTGTGGGACTGGAGGAGATGAAGAATATAGGGTGAAAAGAGGACATGAATGGGATTTGATGTCAATGAGTACATGGGCAGTGAAGTGTTGGATAACTTCAGGTTCACAAAGGGTAGAAAACTCTTTGAGAGCAGAACAAGGAGACCTCTGGAATAGTCAAATCTGGAGGTAACAATGACTCGGATGAGTTTCAAAAGCACAACAGATGAAACAGTGTCAGAATTGTATGATGTTATAGAGGTTGACATTGGATGTGTTAATGATACCATGAATATGTGGCTGGAAGCTCCCCTCGGGGTCAAATATAACACCAAGATTGGGAACAGAGATAGTAGGAACTGCAGATGCTGGAGAATCCGAGACAACAAGGTGCAGAGCTGGATGAACACAGCAGGCCAAGCAGCATCATAGATTGGGAACAGTCTGGTTTAGTCTCATACAGATGGCAGGGAGAGGGATGACATTGGCTAGGGATCAGATTGGAGTATAGATTGAATCTTTCAATCTTTCCAATATTTATTTGGAGAAACTTTCTGCTTATCCAGTGGTGGGTATTTGTTAAGCAGTCTGCTAATTTCACAACAGCAGAAAATGTTCACAAGACCTGGCTTAATAATGTCCAGTCATTCAGAGAAGAGCAGTTTAAAGGAACAGGAGTAGTCTATTCAGCCCCTCAAGCCTGTCTCACCATTCAGTAAAATCATGGCTGATTTATGGCCTAACCCCATAGACCTGCCTTTGGTATTATAGCCCTTAATGGCTTTGCTTAACAAAAAAACCCTCAACTTTAAAAGAAACAATTGATCTAGCATCAACTGCCTTGTTTGAAAGAGCATTCCAAACATCTACCACCCTTGTGTATGCTTCCTAACATTTTTCTGAATGGTCTGGCCCTAACTTTTAGACTATATCCCCCAGTTCTAGAATCCCCAACCAATGGAAACAGATTATCTTTGTCTACACTGTCTTTTCCTGTTAATATCTTGAAAATGATAATCAGATCACCCATGAACTTTCTAAATTCTAGAGAAAATAGGCCTAATCTGCATAGTAATTTAACCCTTGAAGTCTAGTAATCATTCTTGAAAATGTTTGTTTTACTCCCTCCAAGGCTAATAATAAATCCTTTCTCTAAGGTAGGTCGCACAGATATATCGATAATACTCCAACTGGGGTCTAACCAGAGTTTTATGTAGCTGCAGCAGAATGTCTGCCTCCTTATACTCTTAGTCCTCTAAATATTAAAGGCGAACATTCTATTAACCTTTCTGATCATTTTCTCCATCTGTCTGTGGCTTTTTAAAGATCAATGCACCTGAATCCCCAAGTCTCCTTTGTCACTACCTTAAAAATTTCAATACCGTTTGTCAGATATGACTACCTGTCATGAATCCATGTGGACTCTCCTTGATTAACTAAAAAGTTTGAGGTGTTCAATCACCTTATCTGTGATTATAGACTCCAGCAATTTCGCCACCACAGATGTTAGGCTAACTGATGTGCAATTCCTGGTTTCCTTTTTTGCCGTTCTTAAACAGCAGAGTGACGTGCAATTTTCCAATCCAGACAGACACTCCAGTATCTAGGGAACTCTGAAAGTTTGACTGTCTGACTTGTGTCAGCGATGGATCTTTATTTAAATGTCACATTTCATATCTAGGGAAGAAAGATTTTGAACAGAAGGCCATTAAGCTACGAGGTGCTTCAACAAATGGCTATTGATGGAAAGCTCCAAATGTCATGGAAAAAGATGTTGAATCAGTGTTGAAAAGGGGGTATAGAACACAGTCTGGGAAGACTGGGCTTACAAGAGAGGATACAAGAACCAGGGGTCAAATGACCTCCTGTAATATAATTTTAATCATCCTACAAAACCTTTCCTTGATATAGAGTCCAGATCTAGAGTGGTTAACAAATATTGGCTTTGAACTTCGGTTGATATGTTCTGTAAGAAGTTTCCCACACACTGAGCTGATGCCTGTTTTGTAGGTTATTGATTTAATTCAGATTAGTTGTTCCCGAATGGTTTTGATTTGTTAAGTCCAAGTATATATTGGGTGTAATTGATGATCCCAATTCAAATTTGACATATTTACGGAGAGTATCAGTGCAAACTCATGTGCAGAAGGATAGGGAGATAAGTCAATGTGTATTCCTGCAGAATTGTTGGAGATTTAACTTTTAACTGCACTTAAACCACAAATCCATCGTCGATTGTCAGAAAAACTACCTGGGTCACTTAGGGAGGAAAACTGACATTCTTACCTGGCCTGGTCTATGTACCTCCAGACCCACAATGTGGCAATGTGGGTGACTCTTAACAGCCCTCTGGGGGATTAGGGACGGTCAATAAATGCTGGCCTAGGCAGCAATGTCCTCATCCTGTGAATGAATGAATAAAATATATTAAAATATTTAGTTTTAAAGTATGAAATATATCTGTGATTGTAAGACACTATTTTTGAGGAAAGTAATTAATAGCAATGTAAATGCTTTTTTAACTGAAATAATTCAATGGCTTCACATTTCTAGATGTTGCTTCCTCTGGTATGGAAATTTTTTTTCAGCAAGCTGGCCTTGGTGAGGGTAATCAATGGTGTTACTAACAATCATTCTACTTTCATTGTCCTGTTGATGGATTACGTGTTGTTTTGCACAAAATTAGCAGGAACCTACTTTAGAATAAAGGACATTCAGCTCAAACTAGCCTGACATAATGAATATTTTTATTTACAAATAAAACAAAAACGTGATGCACAATATTGCAAAGCAAATCATTAATGGTAAAAACATATATGTACAAGAAAGCTCATAATTAAATACATATCTTATTGACCATCAAAAATAATCCATTGGGCCCAGGTTTTGCCAACAGATGGAATTAAGCCCTGTTCGAATTTGTATGGCATTGGGCCAAAATGTTCAGTTCAGAGAATGGAAGATCTACATATCTCATTCTTTTCACAAATAAACTTTCAAAGATATTGTGTAGATTGCAATTTGTTTAGGATTCTTCTCATTTTGAATTATTGACATGATATCAATCTGCATCTTTTGGTCTAGTGCCATATAAATTTGAACAAGGCTTAAAATCAGTGTCAAAATCGACGGCTATTTTATTTCTTCTTTTACGATCGACTGCAGCACTGTGCATCATACTTCTGTTTCATTTGTAAATAAATATTAGCTGCTTAAGGCTGGTTTGAGCTTAATATTGGTATGCTTTATAATCTACTCTTTCAAACTGTTCTGTCACCCTTAATTATTC